TTATTACTAGAGACTTCTAGTAAAATTCTAGCACAGGTGAGACACCTTGTTTAGACCCAGGAAGATGAATGCTAGTCTCCCTAAGCTCTCCCCTTAAAAGCTGTTCTTCAGATGGGAGCTGTTCTGTAGCCATTGTCTGGTCAGGAGATGGTAACAGACAGGCTGCACTATCTGTGGAGCGGTGGGAATGCACAGGCATCATGAAGGACCCACTGCAGGTGCCCAGAACGGCACAGCTACGATGCCCAAGGGGGACTGGAGACAGGCTTGGTCTGCCCAGGGACTTCACCAGCTCATGGCTCAGCCTTCAGTTCCTCTCTTCCAGAGGGCAGGGGTGACTTGCAGGACAAAGACAGTTTGCTGACCTCTGGTGGGGGAAAGACCAGGAAGCAGCTGTTGAGGTGGAGGGTTGAGACCTGAAGCTATGGAAGCAGGGAGCTTGTGTTGGAACCTCAGCTACCACTTACTGATGGTGATATTAAGTAGCTTACTCATTCTGACTCAATTTTTCCATCTGTAAAATAGGGAGAATAATTGTATTTTCTTCACTAAATGAGGTACATGAAATAAGTATGTATAAAGCATTTGGTATCTGATTGCAGAAGTTGTACGTAGGATCCAAACCACCTCCACCAGGCCGAAGCGAGAGTCTCAGAAAATAAAATCTGTAAACATGCTACATTTGCTATAATTTTATCAGCTGATGGATTATCGTAGTCATTAAAAGTATATTAAAGGGCCAGTGAGATGATTCAGTGGGTAAAGATGTTTGCTGCGCAAGTCTGAGGACCAGAGTTCGATCCCTGGAACCCATATAAAGGTGGAAGGAGAGAACTAACTCCAGATTTATTCTCTGACCTCCATATGCATGTCATGGCAACCCCCATCATATACAAATACACAGTAAGAATAAATAAATAAACATTTAAAAATACGTTAGGGGAAACAAAAGTAAAACTAAGTAAGACTTCTCCAAATTAAAAGGTTCCGCATAGCAGAGAGAACAGTTACTCAAATGAGAAGGTGGCATACAGATTGGAAGAAAGTATATTTGTGAACCATATAATTAATATGTGTTTAATATGTAAGTGCACTCATGTCGTGCAATGCCCACAGAGTCCAGAAGACATTGGATCCCCTGGAACTGGAGTTAGAGATGGCTGTTAGCTGCCACGTGTGCTGGGAACTGAACCCAGGTCCTCTGCAAGAATAGTCAGTGCTCTTAACCACTGAGCCATCTATTCGGGCCAAAACCTGAGTTTAAAGATAGACAAAAGACTTAAGTAGACATTACTCCAAAGACGATGTAAAACGTTTGGAAGGCAGATGGCCCAGTGGGTAAAGGTGCTTGCTGCCAACCCCGGTGACCGAATTTAATCCTCGGTTCCCACATGATGGAAGGAGAGAACGGACTCTTGCAAATTGTCCTCTGACCTCCACACACGGCATGTCCTCCAAAACACACACACACACACACACACACACACACACACACAAATTAAGTAAATGAAATGTAGGAAAAAGATACAAAATAGCCAATCCAGTAAGTATGTGAAAAAGTGCTCAGTAAAATGCAAATCAAAACTACAATGAAAGACCACCTGCTAGTGCTGGGAACTGAACCCAGGTCCTCTGCAAGAATAGTCAGTGCTCTTAACCACTGAGCCATCTATTCGGGCCAAAACCTGAGTTTAAAGATAGACAAAAGACTTAAGTAGACATTACTCCAAAGACGATGTAAAACGTTTGGAAGGCAGATGGCCCAGTGGGTAAAGGTGCTTGCTGCCAACCCCGGTGACCGAATTTAATCCTCGGTTCCCACATGATGGAAGGAGAGAACGGACTCTTGCAAATTGTCCTCTGACCTCCACACACGGCATGTCCTCCAAAACACACACACACACACACACACACACACACACACACAAATTAAGTAAATGAAATGTAGGAAAAAGATACAAAATAGCCAATCCAGTAAGTATGTGAAAAAGTGCTCAGTAAAATGCAAATCAAAACTACAATGAAAGACCACCTGCTAGGATGGTTATTGTAAAAACAAACAAACAAACAAAATAGCCAGGCATGGTGGCACATGTCTTTAATCCCAGCAGAGGCAGGTGGATGATCAAGGCCAGCCTGATATACATAGTGTGTTCTAGGCCAGCTAGGGCTACAGAGACACCCTGTCTCAAAAAAAAATAGAGAGCTAATGAATATTTGTAAGGGTTAGAGAAAAATGGAACCCTTTTATACTCCTATACTGGTACACACATTATGGAAAACAGTAGGTTCTTAAATAAAAGCAGAACTGCCTTATGGTTCAGTAATCTCTCCTGTAGGTATGTATCCCCCTAAACAACATCACTACTTCATAAAGTGATCTCCACTCCGTGTTCACTGAAGCATTATTCACAACAGCCAAGATACGAACCAGCTGATAGGTCCATCAACAGATGAGTAGAGAAAGACGTCGTGGTGTGGAGCTGGGCTTAGCAGCACCTCTGCAGCACCCAGGAGGCTGAGGCCAGCTGTGCTGCATAGTGAGAACCCCCAACAATCACCCAAAGAAGTTGCGTGTGTGTGTGTGTGTGTGTGTGTGTGTGTGTGTGTGTGAATTCATCTCCTATCCCAAATCCGTGAAGGTAAGTTAAATCAGCTGTATGTGTGTACTAAGACTTGATTGAGCTCAATTCTAAGGACATTCTAACAGCCAGAATGAACAATAATAACAGCAGCCAATATTTGTTCAGTGCTGACCACATGCCAAGTTCTTTACATGCCTTAGCTCATTAATCATCACAAGACCTTACGGAAATGGAAGCAAGACAAGCAGCAGTGCAGATAAATGGATCAACAAAATGTAGAGCACACACAATGGAATGTCGTTCAGCCTCAGAAAGGACAGGAACTGACACATGCTATAAACATGGGTGAACCTTCAAGACACTGCCACAAGAACTATGTGCTGCCGCTTATGTGAAGTACTTTCAGGAGATAAAGTCACACAGGAGGACAGTAGTGGTTGCCAGGGCCTGCAGGGGCGGGGGGTGTTACTGCTTAATGAACAGACTTGCAGTTTTGCAAGACAAAAAGGTATAAAGACGGATGATAGTGCCAGACTATGAGTGTATTTAATATCGCTGAGCTGTTCAGGTAGAACTGACCAAGATGACTCATGTGTGTGTGTGTGTGTGTGTGTGTGTGTGTGTGTGTGTGTGTGTGTGTGTGTGTGTGCATTTTACCACAATTCAAAAGCAATTGGAGGGGGGGCTTTAGGAACTAGAGACCATGTTTACCCTTATCTTGGAGAAAAGAGAACTGGGGCTGTGAGGTCGCCGTGCTGCTCAAGGTCACACCATAGACTTTGGTGGAAGAACTGGATGGTCACGCGTCTGATGCAGGGCTGCATGGTAACGGGGTTGGTGGGGCTGGAGCACCTACTCTGTGCTACAACACAGATTTTACAGTCTTCCAACCTCGGGAACCCGTGTTTCATTTTGCACAACAGAATTACTCTCAGAATGAATTGTCATGAGTAGAAAACAAGTGAGGTGCTTTCACTAAGGAAAATGAACACGAACCACATACTGAGATGCATTCTAGTCTGCAGGCCAAGCCTCACGTCAACCTTTAAAGGACCTGTGTTTGTTAACTTGATGACTGTTTATCACATGCCTTGGGCATGTGTTTATTAGCTAGATGCTTAGTGTGCAGTAGGGAATTACATGGGCTAAGATCCTGCCTTATGGTCTGGGGTGAGCGGCAGATAAAATAACCAGGACACATAATAACCGGGTAAGTGATGTGTAGCATCGTAGGACACAATAAGGACCTGACAGCTGCAGTTTTAAATTGGGTCAGCAGGGGATACCTCCTAGAGAAGGTGACATCTAGGCAGAGACCTGCAAGAGCCAGAAGGAAGAGCTTGTGGCGCAAAGTCCTGGGCCAAGGGCCTGCGGGAGGAGATACCGCAAGGAGGTGGCAACGTTGGGGCAGGCGAGGTGGGGGAAGGAGGGTCTGGAGGGGCTGCTCGTCCTCCAAGCACTGCCCAGGCTGGGGCTTTGTCCTGAGCAAGAATGGGGAACTGCGGCCGGATTTTAAGGAGAGAAGCAGTATGATCTGATTCACACCGAGTATCCTTCAAGTCACTGTCTTCAATGTTGTTTTGACTTGGAAGTATGCTTTATCACTGAGATAGTTGGCCACAAGGAAAAGGGCCCCCCCCCCGGGGGGGGATGTCAGCACACTGTACAGAGAACCTACCATTCTTGGGACTTGGGGGGTAGTGGAACTGAGTAAAAATAGTCGTGTCATTTAGTTCAAAGAGCCTCTGGGAGGGATAACTAATAACAATAGCCGTAAAGGTCACTGCAAATATTAAGTGCTATCAAATGCTAACTACTACTTAAAAATAAAAACCCTGTCATTATTCTTTGGCCCAGGAGTCAGGACCTCTGGCGTGCCTTGGTCAGCCTGTCAGGGCCTGAGTGACTTTAAAGAATGGTTCTGTCGCTGTCTCCCATCCACAGCTCTGGCGAAGGAACAATTTCCCATGTGTACGCTGGAGCAAAACTCAGTCCCAAAGCAGGCTTGGTGAGCATTTGTTTTCTGTTCTGTTTTGTTAAAAATCATTCATTCTTAAGCGGTGCGTACAAGACTCCCTTCAAAGCATTGTGCGTTTGAATGTGCATACATACAGAAAGCTCTACCTATGAGCTGTTTACACCAAGCCACAGGGTCATGGAGATTCGCTGGTGTGGGAATAGCACTGAAACACTGGCCTGCTGGTGCCAGCTTTGAAACTCACACAATGAATAGCTATTGTTCTCTGTCTAGAGACACCGAAGACGACCTTCCTCTGCAGAAATCACTTCCAGTCATTCTATGCGTATTTTTAATTGCTGTCGGTGCACCCAATGTTCTAGGTGCCTGCGCAGAAGGAAAATTATATATAAACATATTTCAGTTCTCCTCCAAAAAAGGACTTCGCACCTGCTTTGGTAAGGCAGGCCACTAATGTCACTGCACTCCCACCATAAGCTGTGCTCCAAGAGTCCTAAAATAAGGGGAGAGAAGACACGTGAATCACTGAATATGTATTAAGTACAAGACTCTGCGTTTTTATCTCATTTTCCTTCATGTCACAATACGGTGAAGACAGGCCTGTACATTCTGCAAACGAGGAACTGAGACTTGGAGATTAAGTCACTTACTGGAGTTAATTAGTATCAGAGCTGGGATTTGAACTTGATCCTGTTGACCCACACTTGGCTACCACGCAGATCTGTGCTGAGTTAGATCGTCATCTAGTGGGAAAGGCAAGAGTTATCCATAGAAAGCCACTGGGGGACACACAAGCAGTTCCCCATCAAATGCTTAATTCACAGGACAGACTCACAAGCTCAATTCTACAAACAAACGCCGATGCCTATATAGGGGCAGTGAGGCTCAGCACAGCACTTGCAGGGAAGTTAGGAAGAGCTTTTCTGTAAATGACCGCTATGCCCCCAGATCAGTAATGACTGAGAAGATGGTTGTAAGGTGGTCGGCTCCAGATGGCCACTGCCCACCGTTAGACATGCCTGGCCTAGTCACACCTTTCTCCTGAAGTTCTATAGTCTGCAGGATGTGGCCTTGGGGTGAGAGATATCCCAAAGCTCTAATCAAGAATAAAGTCAGGTGTGTGTGGTTGTGCACACCTATAACCCCAGCACTCAGGAGGCTGAGGCAGGAGGATTGTTGTGAGTTTCAGACCAGCCTTGGTTACAGGGTGAGACTCTGTCTCAAAGATAAAATAGTTAATTTAAAAAGAAGTCTTAAGACATTTTAAAAAAATGAAAATTAGAGGTCACAAGACAACTGTGGTACCCATGCGTAACTATTAGGCCCAAAGGGGATTTGTTACCTGCAAATGTTTTAAGAAGCCTTCAGCTCTGTGACACGTGGCCCATTCCTTCCCAGCAGCAGCCACACTCTGAGCACAGCCATTTTCTGGGTGCTGAGCTGTAATCTCTTAGCTCTAAACTTCTCATTCTCGTGGTTCTCTGCTGGAAGCCTGGCCTGACAGCTCCTTGGAAGCACTCTACCAGGGAGTGCTGGGAGGAAAAAGGGCCCCGTTTGTCCTGTTTGTTTTCTGGTTGTTCTATTGGCCCCACCTCCCCTGGCCCACTTCAGCGCCCTGGCCGTGATAGCGCCTGTTTTGGAAGCAGCAATTGATTCTAGTTTGCACTGTTCCTAATGCTTGAAGAATGACTACTGTGAGAGAATTTAGGTTTAATAATTCCAGCCCCTCCCCACATCACTCCAACCTTAAGGCTGGTAGCTTATTACCACCGTGATACTGTGATATGGTTTATATTTCAGTTTTATTAACCACTTATTATATTAAATTCTACCCATCGAAATAACTGATGTGGTTTCTTCCTCCTGGCTGACATATAGTGAATTCCATTATTAATTTAAATTAAAGCAAATTAGAAAGCTATGTAGTATAAGCTAAGGTCCAATGCTAAGTGTTTAGAATGGGAATATTTAGCTCGCCCCCTGCACCCACATGTGGCTTTGACAGATGCCACACCGGCCACGTCTGCATCTGGTGACGGCCGTACACTGGTTCTCCATTGCAGGTTGGATAAAGTCCAGGCCACAGGCCCCCGGTCTTCCCTGACAGTCTGCCTACCTTCCGCCCTTCCTCCCCAACCACCTTCTCCAAACCCACCTCTCCTCTGCTTTCCACGCACTATGCTTTCGCCCAGCCCTCTGCCTAAAGGTTGTCCTTCAAAGCCTGCCTCAGATGCTGCCTCTTCAAGAAGCCTTTGCGGTTCCTACACTTTCCCTCACAGCTAAATGTTCCTGACTCTGTACCCTGTGCTTCCAAGTATCTCTCCTAATAGACGGAGCTTCCTGAGGCCAAGCTAGTCCTCACATTCCATCGTGGCTTTAATGCTGGGCATAGCACTGGGACTCAGTAGGCCCCCAAAAATTGATGCCTTGCAACTGTTGTAACTGTTCCGTGATCCAAGTTTCTAGTTACATAATCAAGGCAAAGAGTTGAAGAACAAAAAAACTCCATGTTCATAAAAACTTGAAACTCACTTTCTCTCCTCTTCTGTTTGGCTGGAACATTTCTCTAAGTACAAAGCTGTTTGTGTGTGTTTGCATTAGATTATATCCTTAGGAAGCGAAGACACTATAATTTCCTGAGTATAGTGCCAAGGAGGGCTGACATCACTGTGAACACGAAGCTGCAGATAAGAGAAGTAAACACTGTCCTTTAGGACCTTGGAAGAGAAAAGCGGTATCTGCTGGACCGGACACTGTGGGACTGAAGAGCCTTTAAACAGTCTGATTGTTGGGGTAGCACCCTCAACTCCAGTTCCAGGGGATTCAGCGCCCTGGACATGGGTGCATCTACATACATGCAGGCAATACACTTGTACAAATAAAATAAAAACAATAAATAAAAATTTTTTAAATTAAAAATCTAATTGTTTTCATTTTTATTCATTTATTTTTGGGACAGGATCTCCCTGTAGCCCCAGCTGGCCTGGAACTCACTATATAGACCAGGTTGGCCTTGATCTCACAGAGATCTACCTGCCTCTGCCTCCTAAGTACTGGGATTAAAGGCATGTGCTAGCATGCCTGGTCCCTAATTACTTTTATTTTCAAGAGATGGGGTCTTACTATTGAACTCTTGATTTAGGGGATCATCCTGCCTCAGCTCTCAAGCAGTTGGGACTAAAGTCCAGTCTATGTCCAGCTATGAGCAGTGCTCTCAAAGTCAAGTAAGAGCCCCATCTTAGGAGAAGGTAAAAGATCTATGAATTCGATTGGAGAGCTCAGCTCCTTCCTGTCACTAGCTGTGGGGTCATGGATGTCCAAGAGTCCTCCGGGGCTGGAGAGATGGCCCAGTGGTTAAGAGCACTGTCTGCTCTTGCAGAGGACCCAGGTTCAGTTCCCAGCACCCACACGGCAGCTAACAAGGGTCCATAACTTCAGTTCCAAGGGATCAGATGCACTCTTCTGACATCCATGGGCACTGCACTTACCTACATGCAAGCAATACACTAATACACATAAAAATAAAAATAATAAATAAAATATGTAAAAAAAATCTGAGTCCTCATAGATTAAGGAATTGGAATATTCCCAAATTGTGGTCCCACGTCTCCAGAGCCATGTCTCCACTGCTGACTGCCAGTTTGGTGTTCCACCACCTGATGCTTTCACAACAACTCAGAGTGCCCAGGGAGCTCATGTGGCCACAGAAACCTGTGAGAATGTGAAGGCAGCAGGTGGCATGAATCCGATGCCAGCCAAGGCCCAAGGCCCAAGGCCCAGCACTGAAGAGATTAGGTTGGAAAGAAATAAAAGGAAAAAAAGATAACTTCTCTTTGGCCAATAATCCACCTCTTGATCTTCTAATATGCAGATAGTCTGTGTTTGCCTGGGAAAGAACAAGAGTCAGTCTGATCCGAAATAACTGTGACCTCTTCAGGACAGCATATTTTTCCACAGAGATGTATCTGTCCTTATACCGGAGATTTCATGAAGATTGAGAACAAATGATCAATTTCAGGAGTAGTTTCAACTATCGATTTCTGTGACTTTGTTTTTAGGAATAGTTACACATCTTTTTTTGGTAACATGGAGAATGAAGGTAGTTCACAAAACGAAAATGTACTCTTCTCAATACAAAACGATAGAAACAAGTAAAATCCTTAATACTTCCTCTTATGAAGTGTAAAGCACTTCATGTGAGATATGAACTAATTTGAAAAAATCCCACAGGATGACCATAGGCGGTGGGCTGCTGTCTCCTCTCTGTCCTTCCAGACCCACCTCCATCCTCTCCTCTGCACTGCCCTGAGAGACACCCACAGACTGCCAGTGGGCACTGGGTTTCTCACCTGCTCACTGGGGCTTGCCAATGGGAGCAGGCTGGGGAAGGCCCTCTGCATGCACTGCCCTGAGAGACACCCACAGACTGCCAGTGGGCACTGGGTTTCTCAGCTGCTCACTGGGGCTTGCCAATGGGAGCAGGCTGGGGAAGGCCCTCTGCGAGCGGTCTATAGCGATGTCCAAACCGATCCACAGCGAATCGGAATCTCTGTCTTCAGAGCCACTGCATGTTGTCCGTCCGTGATTCAAGATCACTTCTGTCAAGCCATCCTTCTTTCTATCGGAAGGGCCCAGGGTGAGGACAGTTGTGCTGCTCCAAGCCCAGGTGACTTCATGGTATATCCATGTGCTTTTCCCACACCACTCACACTAACCCACATGTGCCTCTACAAAGAGTTCACTCACAAACAGACTCCTATTAGACTATCTTAATCTCAGTATGTCATCTTTTCCCAGTTGGGACCCAGCTATATGGGTCCAAATTGAGGAGTAGAAATGTTTTAGCTATTTATTGGAAGTCTGCTTTCCAGAAAATTGGGTAATATGCAGAGTGCTGCCTACAATCCTCAATGCTCCATTCTGGGGCCTCTCTTGTCCTACAAATTATCCTTTCTGTTGCTGGGTTCTAGAAAGGTCTAGAGAATCACAGACAGGAGCTAGGATACACAGGCAGATACCATTTGGGGATGTCAGGATCATAGCTACTTACCAATCATGTGGAAGAGTTTTACATTTTCATAGTTGGTGAATCCCAGCCGACATTAGTCCAAGTTACGCGCCTACCTATCTCTTTTCACCTGTGGGTTACCACAAAGTTTGTTTCTATGGTTACCTAATGAAAGCAGAAATGCAGGCAAAGAATTAGCAGGGGACAGATGCTGCCTTGTACTCATGATGAATGAGCAACAAATTTTGCTTTCCCTCCCTCCACCCCAAATGAACCAAGAAAGAACGAATTTGAGGCCTCTGGCAGAATGGACAGTGTATTGACACGCTCAACATATGAAACAAATTTCAAAGGCTGCCCAGAGCTACCAGGCGATTTTTAGAACCGTGACATTTTCATCAAAGATTGTGTCTGTACCAAGCATTTTGCATCCCTCATGACAGTCCTTTTAATCCTGGACCGTGGATTCGGAACTTATTTGTTAGAGCCCATAAAATAAAGCACTGTTTGATCAGCAGCCACACACAAGAAGTTTCTTGATTCCTTTAGAGCTGATCTTATATAATTGACTATTTCTCTTCTGAAATATAATTATAACACGTATTTTTATGTTTCCTTCTGTTGTTTCTATGGTGACACCATTTACATATCTCCAGTGATTAGTCATGAAAAGAGGCCATATGTTTACAATACATACTCTCTGGATTTCTAATCCTATTAAGACATGGACAATTAAATAAATTCTGAATCACTATGTGGGAAATGTTAAATAGCTAAACTATCTTGCTAATGAAGGAACAGATTTAAGAAAATGAGATACCTAATGATTTTACCAGAATTTGAAAAGAGCTCTTTTGCTATAGGGCAGTTGAATGTAAAAGAATGCCCATCCTGAGCTGAGATTTCAAATGGGTAACAGGTGACACCAGGATTAGGAAGCAAATGTAGAGTGGTACATGTATGTAAACTCAGACTAGGGATATCAGACAGATTAAAATCAGATTAGGGATACTGGACAGATTAAAATCAGATTAGGGATATCAGACAGATTAAAATCAGATTAGGGATACTGGACAGATTAAAATCAGATTAGGGATACTGGACAGATTAAAATCAGATTAGAGATACTGGACAGATTAAAAAATCAGATTAGGGATACTGGACAGATTAAAGTCAGATTAGGGATATTGGACAGATTAAAATCAGATTAGGGATATCGGACAGATTAAAATCAGATTAGGGATATTGGACAGATTAAAATCAGATTAGGGATATTGGACAGATTAAAATCACATTAGGGATATCAGACAGATTAAAATCACATTAGAGATATCAGACAGATTGACAGATTAAAATCAGATTAGGGATATCGGACAGGTTAAAATCAGATTAGGGATACTGGACAGATTAAGCTACAGAAAAATATACTCTGATGATCACAAATTGTATAGTGTTATATGTAAGACATGTATTTAACATGAGTGTCAATGTCAATTCCATCTACAATGGAACTC